ATCGCTTAAAGGAACTTATCGAAGATGATCCTAGATTAACTACACGTTGTTTAGCAGAGCACCTTGGGTGCTCTCATGTTACAGTGGCAACACATCTGCACGAATTAGGCAAAACGTGCAAATATGGAGTTTGGATACCACATGATTTGTCACCGCATCAGCTCCAACACAGAGTTGATGCTTGTATGGAATTAATGACATCTCACGGCAACTACCGATGGCTTAATAATCTTATTACTGGCGATGAAAAGTGGGTGTTATATGTTAACCATACACGTAAGCGGCAGTGGCTGGCAGCTGGACAAAAAGGTGTAGCAACGCCCAAACATGACTCTAACCAAAAGAAGATTATGCTGAGCGTTTGGTGGGGAGTAAGAGGAATTATTCACTGGGAACTTCTTCCACCTAATCGCACTATCACTGCTGACTTCTATTGCCAGCAATTAGACCGAGTTGCAGCCAAACTTCAGGGAAAACAGGATAAAATTTATTTTTTGCATGACAATGCCAGACCTCATGTTGCAAAATTAACTCGTGAAAAATTACTGGAGCTTGGATGGATTACGGTTCCACATCCACCTTATTCTCCAGACTTGGCTCCTACAGACTACCACTTGTTCCGTTCTCTTTCTAACTATCTGAAGGAGAAAAAGTTCGACGACGAATACGATCTAGAAATGGGACTTCTCGACTTCTTTGACCAAAAGTCGCAGGACTTTTACGAAAGTGGGATCCTTTCTCTACCAGAGCGTTGGCGACAAGTCATAGATAGTGATGGAGCATATATCGCTAAAAGCTAGTTGTATTCTTTGTATTGAAAAAATAAAAATAAATTTAGCAAAAAAAACGACAAAAATTTCTTAACAAGCCAATATATTCGAAAAATCAGAAACATCAATCGGTCTAACTTGGCTTGTAGATCCGACCAGAAAAAATTGACCTGTTGATAGCTCGGACTGATACTGAACAGGCTAAGAGTCAACTTATTCCCTCGACTGAAGGGAGAGTGATACGGAAAAAACCTAAAAGCGTTTGTGGCGGGCTTTGTGCCAGGTCAAAAAAACATCAGAAATGAAGTTTATTTAGGTGTATTTTCTAAAGTTTCACCAAAGGTTTTTGAGGTGGGGAAATCCGACCTTCCCGTTGCCTGGGAAGCCGATCAATCAGAAATCAGCTTTTATATTTTAAGTCTTTTGGACCTTTTGATGAAACTTTACTATAGGTTATCGAGGGCCAGAAATTCGAGTGTGAAGTCAGATTTTATACCAGGCCTTCCCATTGGTCTGGAAACCGACAAATCAGAAATGAGCTTTTCTATTTTAAGGCTTTTGTAACTTTTGATGAAACTTTACTGTAGGTTATCGAGGACCAGGATTCCGAATCTGATGTTGGATTTTACATTCGGTCTTCCCATTGGCTAGAAAGCTGAACAATCATTCAGTGTCTCGAAAGCCCTTGATTATGGGGTGTAAGACTTACGGAATCTTAAAAATTTATTATTTTTTTTCGATTTTTTTTGGTGCCTTTTTTCACATGTTCATGAATATCTTGCATGAAAAGTGCACGCGAACAAAAAACAAATTATGAATTTGGATAGAGCAAAGCAAGGGCTATACAACGAGCATAAAATATTTGAAATTCGAGAACTAACAGGTACTGTTTTTGAAGTCACAAGGTTTAAAAAAAACATTCAAATGCCATTTTTCAAGTATTTCCTATTTTCCCTCTAACCAATTTCTTGTCTGATGTTTTTCAAACATTAAATCTGATACATTGTTCAGAAGTAAAATGATTCATTTCATTCAATTTTATCTTATTCTGTCTATCGACTAATCCTTTGTTCAACGATTCAAGATATCCATAAATAACCTTTTATTCGTTTTCCTTAGTTTCTTTTTTGTATTTAATTTTTTTCTAAAGCTAGAATATTTGAAATGGAAAAATAAGAAAAAATATTTCAATATTACTATGACTTATTAATATTATTTGATAGTATATCGTAGACATTTTAATATAGACTATGAAATAAATCAAAGAGTGCGTTGTACAATTGTTTCGTTAGAGAGAAAACCCATGAATTTCTTGTATTTGAAGACAGATATTTATGCCATTTAAAAGTCTTTTCATCAATGAATTATGTCCAAGATGAAATCGTATATTCGAAGATTAATATTAATCTTCAATATTTGTACGATATACTTCAATAATAATTGATATTCTATAGAGAAACTTCTTTCAGAAATGATTGATTATTGAAAATATTTCTAATGAATATTTCAGAAAATCTTATCATTTATTCTATATAAATCAAATTTTTGCATTTTATTACGGTTGTTGTTTAAAAAACGTGAAATTTAGAAGAACAATAAGCAGGAGATCGTTGAAATGTTTTAATCGTTATCCAATAAGATTTTTCTTTGTCAAAGTCTTTTAGATGACAACTACACAATATTTTTTGTAAAAATTAAATTTGATTTAATCGATTTTGTTTCTTTCCAAGACATTTTAGTTGCACATTGTTATGAAAATAACTAAGTTTTTATTATTCACGAAAAAACTCTATTATATAAAGATCAATTAAATATTTAATAGAAACTTTCCACATTAGAAGTTATTTTTAATCTACAAATGTCAAAAACGATTAAAATAAACAAACCCATAATAAATAAATTTAAAGCTTTAAAATATTGAAAATGTTTCTAGGAAAAATCAGCTTCTTTGTCTTCTCTTATAATTCTATTATTATTACATTGAGAATAGAAATCTTATGTTCATATAATATAATTTAAAGATGAAATTAATTCAACTTTAATTAATAAAAATAAAATATTCAAAGTTCAAGTTAAATTTATTCTCAAATATATTAAAGATTTAATGTATAAAATAAAAATTCTGGATTAAGACGCAAAGAACAAACGTATGTCAGTGATCGACTCGATTCGGGTCATGGAAGCTCGAATCAGATCGTGAAAATATTTTTCAAGCTCGAGATCGGATCGGATCACAAAAAATTGATGGATCTCGAGTTTTGTATGAGAAAACAGCAATTTTAAACGAGATAATGATTCTTTTCTTTTGAATATTGAGAGACTTCGTATAAATCCACTGTAAAAATTGTTAATCTCTGAAAAAAGTCGCCTTGGTTGGCCAAAACAGTCTTTGACATCGGGACGAATTGAATCATGTTCGGATCGGACCAGGTCTAGTTTTATTCAGCTCGGATTAAATCGGAACATGACAAACTCGATCCATGTCGAACACTGTGGTGTATATTAGCAGATAAGATATAATAGTGTTGATTAATAGATCCATCATGCAACTATAGATAAGAATTGAAAAAAATAATTGCATTCGAATATATCAAATCAATTGTATTCAAAATAAGAGCATTATATGTCGACGAATGTATTAAAGATCTTTTTTTTTGTTTTCATTGAAAAAAAATAGTTATATATTCAGTTCAAGTCGCTATTATCGATATAAGAGAACATCTAAAAGTTAATTGTTTTTTTCGCATGAAATAAATCTTATTAAAATTTCAAGTGACTCGAATGACGTCATTTTTTTTTATACATGTTGATTTTCAATGGCACATGAAATTATGCATATCAAATCTACGTATTTGAAAGATACGACTATTAGATCTTTTCTCTTGTCTTTTATATTTATAAGAAACTGAATTTTCTCTCACATGGATACTATTAAATAACAGAAAGACAAAAATTATTTATTATGAATAAAAGATTTCTAACATTAATAAAAAAGGATCAAATAATTGATAACATTTACATTTTTCTTTTGTTTTTATGAAAATAAAATATTATTTATTTTATGTGATAACTTTCAGATTGAATTCTTTAGATAAATATCTTTATCTTCTATCTTTATTTCAATATTTCAATCGTACAAAAATCAATTCATATAACATTGATCTTATTTGGATTTTAGCTGTGAAACAAACCTATAAAATATACATAGAAATATTTTCATTTGGCGATTATGATTTAGTTTTTATTAATTACAGTGAAAGGCACTTCGTCATGATGCCTATTTTATTGAATATAAATGTGTTTTTAATATAAAAGTCGCTGTGTTAACGTATATTTTAAAAATAAAATCAACCGAATTCAATTTTATATTAACATACATTTATATAAAAACAAGATTATATTAAAATCATATTTTAAAATAAAACCTATTTTGATCGTATATATTTATCGTTAGTGGAAGCTCATGCATACTGTATGATCGTTTTCTCCTTCAGCGTAATGCCTTTGACGTTCCCAGTGAAAAACGTTGTCAAAAAGAACGCGTCCTAGTGTTGTTGAGAACGTTTTCTTTTCTTAAAAAAAGTACATTCACTTTTTTGGAACGCGTTCTTTTTTACAACATTTTTCACTGGGTTTAACTTAACATTCCGTAACATACATACAGACATGAGATATCATCTGTATAGATAAATAACACAACGGCCTCATAGTCTTATATTGCACATGTTGTTATAGTTCATATAGTGTTCAGTCTTATAGCCTTTTCCCCCTATTGCCTTATCCCCTTATTCTTCTACTCTCTTTAGGGTCTATAGATATCCCCATATGATAGCTCTCAAGGACCTATGTCTACCTCATGGGATAGGTCTTGAGGACCTATAGTAACCTTATTTGACCTTTCACTTTCGACTCAGCACAGAGAAATACACTTACATATACTGAACATTATATACATAGACTTGGAATTTATATAGAAAAATATCATAAAGAATTAATTGTTTGACAATAGTTAAAATATGAACAAATGCTAATTTTATTTGATATTAAATCTAAGAAAAGCATTACATGTGTGGATATACATTTAAAGATATCTAATCAATTAAATATTCAATGAGAAATAGAATTCTATATAAGTTTTAATTATTTATTCAATAATTACAAAAAAAAGCAGACAAAATTCTTATGAATTTTAATTTATACATATTTAATATTGTATAATAAGAAAAACAATTAAATCCAAAGACGAAATTTTGATATTTCAATATGAAGTCGACTGTTTGGAAAACGTCTTTTAACCATAGAACGAAAAGGTTCAATTTTTTCAGAATGAATTCGTCCATAAATATCGATAAAAACCAATTCTTTCAAATTTTGAACTAATTCACAAAGGTTTTGTTCAAAAACTACAACATGGTCCACTAAAAAAAAATAATTTGTTTTTTCTAAATCTGTCTGATATACTTACCGATTGATTGAAATGTTCGTAAAGATTCAATCCACCGTCCACTATAAATTTGACACATACGTTCTGTTCCATAATCTGGTCGAACTTAAACAAATAAAAGAATTTTTTCAAAAAAGACATATCTCAACTTCTATTATTCTTCAAACAAATCAGCTAGAAACAACCTTAGATAATATTCTTCAATATTAACGTCTTTTTTTTTAAACGAATCTTCAACATTAATTCATTTTATCAAATGAAATTTTTTCACAAAATAGTTATATTTATTTTGAAACACGATTGTCTGAGAGAATTATTAAAAACAATGAACTTGATTGGTTTTCACGACTGAAAATCTATTTGAGAGAAGAGAGAAACTTCTCGGATATGGCATCTGGTCTAAGATATCCATTTCAGATAGACATTCATTAGCTAAATTTAAGGACTGTTCGTGCTGCGTGTCTCATTGCAACCAAAAAAGAATGATAGATAACGCTTGAATTAAGTTTATATTGACACATTTCATATTTAAGAAAAACAAAATTCAATGATAATTAACAAAATGAAATATTCATATCTTGAAAATTGAGCTCATTAAATATGAGATACAACTTTGAACTATTAAAATAAAAGTAACTTTCAATTAGAATTACAAATATTCTTTATATGTAAATCAATCAAAAAGAAAAAAGATTTTTATGAAAAATGTTAACTTACTTGATGTCCAAGGAAAATCATCATCTCTCCAAAGACGTAATGTTTGTATATGTGGCATATAACAACTCAAAACTGATACCAAGTTTTTTCCCATATGAATTGACTCATTTGAACCATAATGGCAACTCGGGAGACAAAATTCAACATGTCGAATAATACTTAATGCATTTTTTCTTAGTTTATCAAATGCCTAAAAGTAAAAATGAACTTTATTCATCAAAATTGACACCTACAATACATATGTGCAGGATAAACTTTTTTTCCACCCTAATTCTACTTTACTCTACGACGTCTTTGTCCTAATCCTTTTCTATCCTGTAGATCTTTAATTTATAATAATAGAAAAACAAATCATTAGTAGTCATTCTCATGTTAAAGCTGAATAGTATTTATTTTTTCAAACATTAATAATTCTAATGTATTGAATTTCTCTTTTCTATGTATAATCAGCAACTTCATCACGCAAATCAACTACAAAATAATTTTAAATCTCTAAAGATTTTTTCATAGGAAACAATTTATTGCGTCAGATTGTTCACAATTTATAGAATCTTATAAACTTTCATAAAGAAACTACGATGAGTCTACATTTAAGATCTCTTGAAAGTATAAACAACTTACTTACATATATATGAATACATCTTAACATAGCTAGTAGAAAGCACACTAATTCTCTTTTAGAATTGTGTAAATCATTGACAAAATCTATATATATATATATATTGCAAAGATGAAACAATACTTCTATGGAAAACGCGCAAAAATTACTGGAAAAGAAAATATCAACAACAAACATCTATCGAATGTTAACGATTCATTTTGATCTATTTCGAATATAAGAAGGTCAATCACCTTTTTGAAAATTTATAATGATCGGAAAATTACGCTGACGCAGTTTATTAAATGGTTATTTAACAGATTTATCAAAGACATCATTAAAAAAATTAATCTTTCTCAAAAAAAAAAAAAAAAACGTTTGCTTCAATAATACTCTCTAGATACATTCAGAAAAGTAACGTAACACTTTCTAGTGTGTATCATTTTCTAGATGATCAAAATCTGTATTACGTAAAAACCTGAACATTGTTCTTTCTATAAAATGAAACTTACTTTTATTTCCAATAAAAAATCGATCTAATAAATACTTACATATTCAATAACATCCAATAGCCATTGAAATTGTTCCATCCGTAGATAAATCAGTTGAATTGGCATTGAAATAAGATAGGCAAGAACTTCTGCGCGTAATTTATTTCGATTGATCAATTTATCGTGATATGCTACAGGTATATAATTAAATGATTCAATCAAATTTTTCATCATTTATTTGAATTTATTCTTAATAAATAGTTTCTATTATAATCGATAAAATGTTTGATAGATCTTCCATCGTTTATGTTTATTTAAAAAGATTTACTTTGAAAATGAGAGAAAAAAGAACAAGATTTCTTCTGATTAAAATCTATCAACTTATTCAAGTCTTAGTAAAAATTATTCATATAATCATTGATATCAAGCAGAAATGGTTTTTTTCATTATTTAACCCTACTCGAATATACCTGAATCATCGACTGAAAACACTCTTAGTATCAATCTTAAAGCAGTGTGTATTATCTATAGATCGAGTATATTTCCATATGCCATCCAACTCGTATGATTCTTGGAAACTCAACTTCTAGAATATATTATTTATTAATAAAAGAATTAGTTCTCTCATAATGATGAATGAAACAAAAACAAATAGTTTATTATGATGTTAAAGTCAAATAGAAACATACCAGAATTACGAAAAAAAGCAGATCCAAAATCAAGTCTTGTAACGTATCGAAAATGAATATCAGTCAATTGACAATATTCAACATCCAATAATGATCGCAAAAACATCGAATATTCGGATTCACTAACTTGATTGTGTCGTCCTTAACAATAAAATATTTTGCTGTTAAATTTGTAAACTTCTCTAAACAAATCTATTCATTCAATAAATCATTTTTCTAAAATATAATCCAATTGTATCAATATCTACGAATCCTCCATACTAGTTTTTTCTTTCCGAAATTACTAGATTATTATTAGTAGATATTCTCAAATAAAGTTGAAATCCTTCACCATCTAAAATTTACTCTCGATTAAAGCCGATTGTGACTTTTACTGAAATAAATCAAATGAACTTTTATGCTTAATTTGAAAATATGATAACACGCAACATTTGTCAACATATAAACATTTCGAATCTAATTTTGTCTTTTTCCAATGAATCATTTTCAATGACCTATTTACCTATATTAAATTGAATAGATTTTATATGAGGATATAGAATATCAAATTGTTTTAGACATCCAATAATTGATGGACATAAATTAACCATCATGTATTTGACACATTTCCAATCGAAAAATATCGGATAGTCTCTGAAAAACAATAATAAAAAGTTTTCATGTTTTTATCCAAAATAAATAACTTACACAATACCATGGACAAATATCGGTTTAATTAGTTTTGTTGATGATATATGCTGATATGACATAATTGGATCGAAATAACATTGAATATTTATCCAATAACGATAAATAAAAAACTGATCGGTTTTAAATGAATCAATTACTTTTTGAATATCATTTTCAAATAATAATTTACAGCTTGAGACAATATAAAAATCAAAATCAATTAAATGAATTAATATATCAGGCATTAGATATTTACGAAAGAAATTTACATCAATAACACTATTTTTGTTCATTGAATCCTTTATATGAAGACGAACTTTTAATTTTTCAATATAATTAACTTTATTAATAATCCATTTTAAGTAATTTAATTGCGAATCATTGAGAATAACACTTTTCAAAGTAAAACATTTCAATTTTGGCATCTAAAATAAATACTTTTTCTTTACTTTATTTTCTATATATTATATTCTTTGATAAATATCGTTCAACACAATCTAATTTATCAATTTACAGATATGTATTAGCTAGGTTCTCTTGAAACATTTTAGATGAGAATTATTTACTGATCAATATAAGAGTCAGATTACCTATAGTTTCTGCTTTAAATTAGTCTGCTATTCAAATGATTTATTTAAATGGTACAAATATTCTTTCCTCTTATTGATTAAAGACTCATCGGTTTATGTCAATCCCTTCGTTCACTTTATTAATCAATTCAATTTAAGAAAATATTTGACTTAAATGATCTTTTCCAGTCTCAACATCTTTCAACAAGAAAAATATCGAGTTGTACAAGTTTTAGGCGGGACTAAAGCATCATTGGAGTTCGATTCTGGCCTCCCAATAAATCAGACATCGGGCTCAATCAATTTAAACTGACGTTAATATAGCATACGAAAAAGATTTATTTATACTAAAACAATGACAAGGGTTCGTTTGACCAGTGCTATTGTGAGAAATCTATTTTCCTCTCACTAAACGATGATTATAATATTTACCTTAGTATACCAACTGATAATACCTGATGTAAATCTTTTCATTTGCGGCTCATCCGATAATTTTTCCATTAATGTATATTTAAATTGAACTGATAAAATTTCAAGATTAGGTACATGTTCAATAAGATTTTCAAGAAAAGAACCGTCAATTAAATCAATCTTCAAATAACGAAGACTTTTACAATGAGTAACAATTTCATTGTGAATTACATCTGAATTAATATTAGAAGATAATGATAGAAATTTATGAATATTAACACAAGTATCGTCGTTTGATATGTCAAGTTCGAGTGATGTTAAATGACATTTATTAGAAAATAATTTACGTATAAATTCTTCAAACATTAGCATCAAATTCGATCCTAGAAATAGGTAAAACTTTTTCAAAAAATAAAATGTGTTTTATTTACTTTGTTTATGGCGAATTATGCGTAACAATCTTTGACATTGATATGATTTGAATACATCATTATCAAATGTTAATACTAATTCATTCAATTGATATTCAATAAGTAGTGATAAATTTTCAATTAAGTTTTCAGTTAAATAACATTTTCGAAGAATAACTTTTTTAAGATTAATAAAACGAAGAATTTTCGAATGAAATATCCATTCAGATATAATATCAGAACAATTTACATATATTCCGTTGATATAAATCGATTGTATACAGTTTAAAATAAATGATAAATCATTGATTTTAGATGTTATTATTGAATGACATTTATTAAACGATAAACATCTTTTATTAATAACAATTCCATTTTTATTCATTAAAAATTTGAAATAAATTATATTATTTAAACGTTTATTTAATAAACAAAATGATTCAATTATTTCAAACAATGTCATATGAGAATATATCATTAGAAATATTTCATTTGGAAGATTTTCTAATTTATTTATCATTTTATCTAAATAAATTTATCAAAATTAAAGAAAAATTTTTTGTCAACTTATCTAATCCACATTAATACTTCTATCCCATTCATTTTATCCGAAATGATCTGAGATAGAACATAGCCGATATGCTATTTTTGTAGAAGAGAACGAACTGTTTTGATAAATAGATACGAATGTTCACAATTTCATATTCTATGTTTCTTATATGTTCAAGATGATAAACAGACTTATTTTATCCGGTGATTTTCTTGATATAAAGGCTTTTTATGAAGAGAATTATCCATTTAAAAACGAAATTTGATGAAAACAAAACAACCGTTTTTTACCTGAATCGAATAGAAAGAATTCCAATAAGAAGAGATATTTAATATACAATGATCAATTTATGTGACGGTGACACTTATTTATAATGAATGAGGAAACAGGGTATAATCGCTTCCTTTTTCTTTTAAAAAAATCAACAATTTTGAGTGAGAATATTCCTATCCGACTAATATGATGAACTATGAAGCAAGCATGTCGTTCTTTTTTTCTTTCAATACGGACGCGTTTCAATTTAACCTATTAAAAAAAATGGAAACATAAACAGTCATCACTTCACCATTTATATTGAGTCAACGAATAAATTTGAATGATATGTTAGATATCAGATGAAAAGATTTTCTTCAAAGAGAAAGATTTTTTCTAAGAAAGTAAGAAGATGATGTCTGTTATGAAATATTCGACGATTTACACGTTTCACATGAATATCTATGAATATATTCTTATTCTTATTTTGAAGGCTTTAGAATGATCAATGAAAAGATTCTGTCTTCTTCTGAAAACTCTTTCGGTTGATAATTATAAATAAGTTTAGTTAATTATATTGATTGGAAGAAAAAAGATTTGTTCGAATGAATTTCGTTTGATTTTATTGATATGAATGAGACAATGACATTATTGAAAGACTTCGATATAGATGGGTGTGGGTGTGGGTGTAGGGTGGGTGTGGGTGTGGGTGTGGGGTGTGGGTGTGGGTGTGGGTGTGGGT